GAAATTAAATTATTCAACAAATAAATTCTCATAATATTGCCAACACTGCAGCGCATCCCAAGCTTCTGTATATGTAGTGTGTGTGTGTGCGTGTGCGTGTGTTTGTTTGCTGCGTGTGTTTCTTTGTATGCGTGTGTGTGTGTGTGAGTGTGAGAGTGTGCTAATTATTTTTGAAATATCATTTGTTTGTAGTCGTAGTCGAGCAGTCTCAACTAGAGCTTTCTTAGTAAGTTAAGCGTTCGCGTATCATTTTCTGAAATAATGACGTCACGCTGTCAAATCAGCTATTCGCTTTGCATGATTATAACATTGATATACATATACCAAGGCACAAGTCTCTAGTATCTGGAATTTGACGCTGATTTATAACAAAAATCGGAATTACATACAGTATATATGAACCTACATTCAAAATTATATAAAATTTACATATATGAACTTAACATTTAAAATTTGGCGACTCCAGTTCTGAAGGTGTAGCAGATATAATCATTTAGCTTATTGTCGACAAAGTTTTTAATCTATAACAATTTTTAGTCTCTAGCTCTTATTCTTTTTAGATTGACGATTTTTGTTATAATTTACCGCCCCACCACTCTATCTACACATCACTCCCGCTTAATTTTTAAAAGGCGAGTTTCGAATACTTGTGCTTATTATTATTATTATCGGTTATTCAAGTAATGAAGTAGGTTAGAAGTCATTTCAATATCTTTTTTTTTTACTTTTTTTATTAAAACGAATCCGGCTGAATTTAATCAATTGTGGATGAATAGATTAAAAAGACAGAGAGTTTTAATTCACGAATAGTCATACTGTTCAATTTATTACATTATGAAAGCTTTAATTGGATGTATGAAATACACTAGAGATTTTAAAATTTAATTTAACGGTTTTTGTATTTTATTTCCGATGGAGGTTGATATTGTGTTTATATTTACGGGGTTAATTTGGGTTTCGCTCCTGAATTGCAAACAATAGATAATTGTAACAACTGTAAACCGTGTAGCGAACCAAATAACATTAAAGCGTTTATTTTTCGTCAGCACGCTCGCACAGAATCGGAAATCCGGAATATTACAAGCAAATGTCAAAACGACTGGGTGGGTATAAATAGTAAGTGTAACAATAAGGCGGTAAATACGAAAGAGATTTATGACTGCCTAGCTGGAACAGAAATGCCCACCCCTCGGCTCAAAAACATCTCATGTTGTGCTAAAACTGCATACCGTGAAATTTGTTGTAATTGTGGATGTGATTACATCATATTACCATAAAATATATAATTCCTTTAATGAAGCATATCTCATTGTCAATGAAAATGGGTCTTTATATTATACAAAAAGCATTTTTGTGTTAAGCATTAATAACGCTTTCTTTCGTATCTGTGTACAAACTATAAATAAATAAATAAATTTTATGTACTGTAAAGTAGTATCTTATCCTTATTAATATTCATTTCTATATTAAATAATTGAAATCATAATTTTTTATTGATTATTCTAAGTAATGAAATAAGTATTTTGTGTTAGGTCTCCTGTGTAAATTTAAAACATAAATCTTAAGACTCTCCTCTTTTAAGATTGACTTAAAAATATATAGCTACGACTTTTCAACTTTTACGATTCATACAATCCTGACGTGTTCAATCAGTTAATTGCAAGGACTATGTATTAACATATCTATTATAACGTGTAATCAACAACTCATATGTGAGTCCACCTTCTGTTTGTTACATTTCCGAAAAGGAATTGTTCATGGAGTAATCAATCAACACGATATTTGTGAAGGTTACATTTTGAGGGATCTAATAATACATATTTATGAACATATTTGACATGTACTCTAAATGGTCCATGAATAACAGCAGAAGAGGCAAAGCTAAACTTTATTATTCAATTTCAGATAGATGACCAGATACCAAACTTGAAGGAGCTCGAAGAACTTTTGGTTTCCTTCGTGACTTTAAAAATATAATACAGCTGCCCAAAGACTCATACTTGAAGAATTTCATTTAGAAGAATTTTATTTTATGACATAGACAACGAAGACTTGATCAACGATATTCAAGACGTCCTACTTTTACTCAAAAGAGCGTAGAAAAACGAAGAGAAATGTGGATTCTCGCCTGAACATCTTCTATTATATATTTCTTCTTTGCAAATATGTATTATTAACTATATCTGTGTCAGTTACTTCCTGAGAAAGATCATTTAGTAAACCTACTTTAATTTAAGCTTACTTGAGATCAACCACGAGTCAAAGCAGATTAACAAATCTTTCAGTTATTTCAGTCGAAAATAAAACGGCTGTAGTGTTGGATTACGGGGATGTAATATGCAACTTTACAGCTATGAAAGCAAGAAAAATAAACTTCTAAGTTGTTGACTTCTATCAGAAAATTTCTGTCTGTCGTAAATAATTTATAATTTTAGTTTAAATTAACTTGTATGTTTGTTATTATTTGCTACTATCTTAAAAATAAGTATTATTACATTTCTATCTCAATTCATTTCTATTTTATTTTATTATTATTATTATTTTTTTTTTTTAATTTTATTAACATTTTTATTGCTATAGATTTAATATTTTCAGTCCCACCGATAAAATAAAAATGGACCAATCACTGCAGCCCATTATTTTAAGCGAATAGGAAGCGAGCACGGCCAATGAATGCTTCTATATTGGACAAACTATTGCCATCCCTTTTTAATTTATATACAAATTCACAATGCGCGGGTCGCGCTCAACTGTATTATTCATCTCGTTCCCACAGTGTCTGTGTCTCGCTGTCTCTGTCTACTTCTTACGCTCTCTGTCTGAGAGCATTTATATACAAACAACACTCGCTCTCTCTTTTTTGTTACACTCTTTGACTCTTGGTTCAGTAGTCATGTTTTTTATTTTATTTATTTTTTTTTTGCTTTGGATGATGAGTACCTTGTTATCTATACTAACACTCAAATTAACAAGAAATTGAATATGTTTGTATTTATAAGTAAAAGAAAGAATCATGAAGAACAAAATTTACATACATTCTTTTATTGATGATAAGAAGGTAAAATTACCTAATATTCTACTAGGGCATAATTGACTACGCATGTATGTATGTACATATGTACATACATTTCAAAAATAATAAAAGCATTAATAGTGTGTAAATATCTAAATTCAAGAATCATATGAGGACTTCATAGATACATACTATATGACTGTATGTACACACATACATAGAGGGAAACGTATAACTGTTTGCAAAAGCGTAATACAATGCTTAAGTATACTGGAAGAACTTCAAAACTAATCGATGCAAACCAGCAACCAAATTAACTAACAAGATTATGAAAACGTAAAATCAGTAAATCGCTAAAGTGGATGTAATTTTCTTTTTCAACACCTCGCGCTCATATTGGGTCGTCAGCTGCCGGGCGGCTGGTCTTTTTTGTGTGTAGTCGTTTATTGTAGTCGCTAAGCCATGTCTGTAGACACTCCCCACTACTATATATCGTCTTGTTTGCCATAGTATTGGCGTAGTGTGGTCTGGCCAAACTCGTTTCGTTCATTTAGTAAATCTCTGACTCTTTTCTCGGCTCTCTCTTTGAAGTTTCGCCGTTTCAGAGGGATGATACATCGGCATGGCGGTGATTGGGAGAGAGCACGGGGGCAATGATGTGAGTGATTATATTTTGATTGCATTGCTCACTGTGGTTGGTTGTACTGCATTGCTCACTTAGTACAATAACCGACACGCCGTCTGTTAGTATGCTGTAAGAGTGATTTTGTTTTATGTGAGTCGGGTTCTTCGTTTGTTTTGCTTCGGGTCTGTCGTTATCTTCGCTTCAACCTCGCTGCTAAGTTGCCACTGCTGCTCACGTATTCGTATTCAGCTTTAGATGGTAATTCGCCAGACCGGTCAAACATTGGAGAGCGCTTTTGCATTCTGTGTTGTTGTGCTTTGCTGAAGCTTATCGGAAGCGTAGTATTTTTCAGCCGATTATTAACGCGAGGTCGCGTACCGTTGCTGCCGTCGCCAAAACAAACTGTTTACTTACAAGAATAAGCTAAGATAATGTGCTTGGAGTATACCTCGATACTTCGATTATTATGTGTTTGCCGTCAAAAAGGCAACTCAATTAAACAATGGAGTTCACCATGAAATATCAAAGTTTCTAAAATCGAAATAATCAATTTAACACTGGACTGCATTGGTTTGTTTGATTCATAATTAAAAACAGTATTGAAATAATGCCAAGGCCTTCACGCGAGTCCTACGGTGATCAGAAACCTCCGTATTCATACATATCGCTGACAGCAATGGCTATTTGGAGCTCACCGGACAAAATGCTTCCTTTAAGCGATATATATAAATTTATAACCGACAGATTTCCATACTATCGAAAAAATACCCAACGCTGGCAAAACTCACTGAGGCATAATTTAAGTTTCAACGATTGCTTTATTAAAGTCCCGCGACTACCAGACAGACCTGGAAAGGGCGCCTATTGGGCTCTACACCCACAAGCATTTGATATGTTTGAAAATGGTAGCTTGCTGCGGCGAAGAAAACGCTTTAAGCTGCACAAGAATGATAAAAATTTACTCAATGAAGAATTGACTGCACTGGCTAATATCAATCGATTTTTCTTTACCGCACGTTCCGGAAACACCATACCACAAGTGCCGACTTTGGACATAAATAGTGCAACTATGAATATGGAGTCCACCACGGGTTTGGTACAGTCTCCAATTAGTTTATCATCAACTATGGCACAGCATTGCTCATTGTCGCATGGACATAGTGCTTCGTTACCACAAGGCAGACATATTTCTTTAGCTAGCGGTGAAAACACAAATTTGACCGAAGTTACATTGCGCAATCTACGCTCGTCAACAAATCTTGATATGGAGGGAATCAGTAGTTATCGACCGAAACGGTCTTTTACAATAGAAAGTCTAATTACCCCCGATAAGCCAGAGCAAATATCCGAGGAGGAAGAGGATGACGACGATCGCGCTGATATAGATGTGGTGGAGTGCGAAAATCCGCACAGTAAAATAGCTGATTACCCACGAAGATCATCCGCTGAATACCGGCCAACAACTATCTCTACTCGTACCGAAGATCAACGCCAACGCCCACTACCTCCTCTGCACACAATAACAGCTTCTGCACATTTACCTTTTATTCATTATGCTGCTGGTGTCAACGTGCCTGGCCTGAATTCCAGCAGCATCCAGTCGTCAGGAGTTCCCACAATGACTTATGATTTGGCTATGGCTCATCCGCTATTGATGATGTCAGCACCAATCGGAAATCTTAGTAGTAATTATTGTAACAATTTTTCAATAATTCCACCGCCGCAAGCATATCGTGGATCGGAAGCTCAAAATAGAATAAGCGCCGGTATGCGAACAATATAAAAGTTATTTCCTAGTTATAACTATGTATGTACATGAGTAAAAAAATCTGAGCAACCACTCTTTTGTGTAAATTATCATAGTTCCTTTAATAATACCAATTACATAATAACTAGATAATAATATAAGTTTAATTTCATTAACATTTAAGAGTAAATGTGTATGAGATCATTTTGATTTCCTTTTGTAGGATCTCTCATTCTCTGTTTTAGAAAATTCAAGTTTATATAGTATTAATAAATGTAAATGTAAATATAGGTAGATGAATTATTTTCATAAATTATTATATAAATATTATCATGTCCAAAAACATTCACATTATATTATCATATGCTTTTGACACGTTAATTCGCTTGTCAAATCGTATTTAAATATTTAATAAACAAGGAGAATGTTCAAAAGAAGTAGTCGTAAAAGTCAAAATAAAAAACCGTATTTTCAATGATCTAATTAAACACAGTTTGGGGAGTGCGTTACCGTAAATTATGTATCTTTGAATTGGTGATCTTAACCTTGAAAGCAAAGAGATATATTTCTGACTACGTAATTGCGACATAATCTCTTTCAAAGAATATGACACTAGTAGATACATATTTCACTTTCTCATACATAAGGACATGTTCCAGATATCTAGCTCAGAGTTTTTATTTAGTTTCAAAGTAACAGAAGTGGAAATGGATGTAAAAGTAAACAGCAAAACAAAATCCGGAGTGTAATTGTTTCATGCAAATCTGTGTCTAAAACACAGTTAAAAATATATGTAGATACCACTTTATGTCTAGAAAATAAAACATAAAAAGCATAAAACATTGAACCCCTAGTTTATTTATGATGTATATATAGTTTATTATGTGCATAAAGAGAAAATTTTTTCAAATATTCATTTTGAGCACTATTACGGACCTCCACAATGTATGGGACACAGTATACTTCGGTTGTTGATTGTGCTTTTGTATGGCATCCTTAGTTGGCCACTGCGGACTAGAACATTTTTATATATTTCCCTTTTCTAAGAACTCAAATAGAATACAACTTTGTTTACATATGTATATGCTAACGACGAGTAAAATTTGTATAGTTATTTGTACAGTGTATTTTCGTTTGTTTGTGTCAAGATTCACTAGTCACTCCTACTATATGTACTTTATATAATTTCAATTCTTGTTATAACTCAACCGGCCCCCCTCCCTCTTATAGCCACTCCATCACTATAAATTAGTAAAAGGCGTACTTGAAATATAATTGTGCTTTGCCAAATGCACGTATATCGACCTAAAAATATCGTGAAGATAGTCCATCCACAAAAAACAGATATTAAACAAGTAAGAAGACTATAGTCGAGACTGCTCGACTACGAGATCCTCTGCACTTATTTTAGGCACACATACATACACATGCACGTATTAGAACGCGCTCTGCTAACTGTGCAGTAAGCAGCGACTGCGCTTGGGCTGCACTGTAGTGTGGGCAATATTATAAGAATTTTTTTGTTGAATAATTTAATTTCTATAGGTACGATCTTAATGAAACCTTTAGAACTTAATCATAATGTTCAAATGTATGTACATTCCACAAGACTCTAGTACTTGAAATACGCCAGTTATAAGGGTGTGGCTGAGGGCGTGAATTTAGGGGTGGGGGTAAAATACAACAAAAACAAACTATACAAAATACTTATATGTCTACATTTAAAATTTCAAAGCTCTAACTTTAAAGGTGTAGAAGATATTATTAAATAGCTAGCTTTCCATAGGGCTTTTAATCGATAAAAAAATATCGCGAGTAGTTATCGATTTTTAGTGATAAACTCGATGTGCGCGTAATATATACACGGACCGAGGAAAAAAATTTCTTTAGTATTTGAAATACGCGTGCTACGAATAATAAACTATTTTTGGAAACAAACAGTATATCCATACCCCCAAAGTTCAAATATGTCAAATACATGTATATATAGGCCAACTCCAAGGAAATAAGTATATCACCAGTTAGAACGACCAGCTCATCCGCGTATCAGATATTAGAGTAGATGTCTGGTATGCCTAGAAATTCTTCTATTCTTTTCAGACACTACATTTTTTTGCCAGCTCATAGAACAAGCTAACGGTAACCTGGCTGCAAAATTTGGATGCTTACGCTCAAAAAATGAAAAAATTACAGGTTATTTTTTTTATTTAAGGAATCGATAGAGGATGTTGATAGTAACTTAACTATCCAACTTTGAAGCTTCTAGCTCTTATACTTTAGGAGATATAAACTTTTGCGGATATATATCCATTACATATGTATATTCAATACAACTTTAATATTTAGAATTAAATTGACATTTCAGTAATTAATTGTTGTACGAAATTGCAATAGCATTTAAATGTTTTTTTAGTGCTATAATTCTCATTCACTGAACGACTAAATTAGTTTCATATAAAGTCTGTTTATGTAAAGCATTTCTATAAAATGTTGAAAGTAATTCGCAGTAGGTGAAAGGTACACTCGTCCACTCTACAGTGTTTGGGTGGATTGATTAAATTATTTCACCATAAGAATCCTACATAAGAAATAAGAACGCTGAGGAGTATAGGTGATCATATACTGTGTAAATCCTAAGGAATACATATGACAACTTCCTTAATGTAACCAACGATGTGGAAAATATAACATAATAATAACCATACATACATACATAGTTTCAAAAACGTCGAAATAGTTTTTTTTTTTTATATATATAAATTGCCTTTTTAAGTTTCGTACACCCTGAACCCATTAAAAAGTAAATTCATATTTTAGAAAGTTAGTTAACAACAAACAATAACAAATAATCAGTAAAAAAGCTCTAGTCAAGGCTGCTGGACTATAAGATTACCTGAACCCTTTGAGCAACTGATAATTCAATGATAATTCGCACATACACACACACACACACACACACACACACACACACGCATACAAACAAACACACGCA